CCATGGCAGGGGGTGGCACTGGGTGGGCTTTAAGGTCCCTTCCAACCCAAACAATTTTGTGATTCTGACACGACCAAAGTGGACTCAGAACACACGGAGCAGATGAAGACATAGAAAACAGCTGAGTTGGGCCTTCTTGCCTGCAGACTTGTCCCGTTGGGGCTGTATAGACAAGCAAATCTCTGTATTATCTTATGACCCTGTTTATTCTGGCTTGAGGCTCAATTATGAAACAGTACAAAAGTACCGGGGTTTACAGACATGTGGAGTATTAGTTATTTCAAAATGATTTTACAGAAGAAAAAAGTAGGCAGAGCAAGGTTTTACTTTGAAGTGGGTTTGGTTTGGTTTTCCTGAAGTGCCCAGGGAAGTCTCTGACAGCTGCATTTATCAAACCTGACAGTAAACACTGTGTGCTTCCTGCCTCTGAATCTTCTGGAAGTCTAACAAACATATTAGGGGCGATCTGAACACAGAACTGACAGTATTTCCAAGAAGCAATACACAACTGTGTGCAAGTAACACAAAGTGATGCTATTTTTGAACTATTGTCAGAAACACAAGGCATGCACTGCACGAGCACACGCTTCAGCTTCTATAAGAAGCATCCAGGAATCCTCCCCTGGCATTGCAGTAGAGACTTTCTTGCATGTAAACCTCCATCCTCACCCAGAAGGAAACACAAGAAATACTTTTCTCTCTTCACCATTGCTGTCATCTTCATTCTTCTGTTCCAGCACAGACAGAGGTGTCAGCCCCTACTCACCAGTCTGAATTCAGCTGTCTGAAACAGTCTGTAATTTACTGCCCTGCTTGTCTTCTTTAACTTTCTTCTTTTCCTTAATATTTTCCTTTGTAGTTTTCCTACAAAAAACCACATCAGAGACCATGACACCTGAACATAATAAATGAAGTATATCACAGCGGTTTTTATTGTGTTTGTGCAGCTGAACATAAATCCTTCATCAGCAACACTCCTAAGTGGGTAATAAATCCAATTTTCAGTAGACAGATATTGACACTAAAACTTCATCACTACGACTGTTCATCCAAACAAGTTATCTGTTATTCTGGAGGAATTTTCTGGGCCTTTTCTGGATAAACAGCCTCTCTTACCTCCTCTTGAGAAAAAAGTACTTACATTTTTCTTTTGCCTTTTTTCAAGAAGCACTTTGGGGTTGTACAAATGGATTCTCTTGTCAAAGGTTTCTTAATGAATTTCTTCTTTTGTTTGCTGAGAACAACATTTAGTGAAGACGGATTAAATTACTTTAAAGGGCAAAAATTATCCAAACTAAATAAAACAGATAATGAAAACCTCTTCCTGGCTGAAAGGGATTTATGGGTGTGAAAATATTTTCAGTGTTGTTTACACCAAGATTAGTTCAGCTACATCGTCTCGAAGACATTCACAAAAACTTTATTTTAATTTAAGTCTTATATATATATGTTTCTAGTTTTAGAAACTATTAAAAGCTACTAAGGAGCACTAATTAAAAAACTGGTGAACTACTCAAAGAACATACCTTTGCAGTCTGGGCAAGTGTTTTATGTAGTCTGGCACAGGACAGCCAGCTCGCTGGATAACGTTGGCTATACTGGAAAGGAGAGGAAGGAAGAGATCAGCTCCAGTGCTTGGACAAGTGATAAGGATGTTCTGTGGAAAACAGCTAATCCTGACAACTGGCTGTTTTGTTGTTGATCTTTTGTTTTGTTGGGGGTTTTTTTAAAGCAAGAAATAAAGACACGAGTGAGTCTGAAGTACATTGAGGTGTGTGGGACCAGCCACAACCACACCACACAAACCACCTCTGCTGTATCATGTTTCCAATTTACCTTCGTAATAAAGGTTTATCATCTTCTGTAAAGAAAGTGACTGCTTTTCCTCTGTGCCCTGCTCTTCCAGTACGACCTGGCAAACACAAATGTTGCAAGATTTTACTTTAAATTACTCTCCCTTTATTCCTCCTCACAGCCCCAGCCTCCTGATGCGTGTTCATATACTGAGCAGATGTTCATATGCCAAGCAGCCAATCCCCAAGGATTCTTCCTACTGAAAGCACAAGTATATCTACAATTTATCTAAATATTTAAGGTTCATAGAAGAGTGACAAAAAGTAATGCAATTTTATTGAAAGTTGAGCCCAGAACCAAATTGCTCAAGCAATGCAGAAATTTGTGCTGCAGCACAGAGGTTTGGTTTTGTGAGTTTTGCTCATGCACAAGAGGATCTACATTAAAGATCTGGGAAACAGGAAAAAAGAGAGAGTTTGTGAGCAATCCCTCACCTATTCTGTGGATGTATTCCACTGCACTCGTTGGCAAGTCATAATTGATGACCATATTCACTCCTTTGAAATCAATCCCTCGAGCCAACAAGGCCGAGCAGATGAGCACCCAGATCTTCCCAGCTCTGAAACTGTGCACTACCTTATCCCTCTAGGAAAAGAATAGAAAAGATATTTAGAAACAATAAATAACCCAATTAGCAATTTTAAAAAGGAGGTGAACTTGTCTCCTCGAAGTCATCATGATGTTAAGGAATAAAACTAAACCTCTAAACAAAAAACTGCAGGAATTTGCTGCCAAAGTTACCTGGAGTCACTTTGCAACAGTCTTGCTTTTACCTTTCTTTCTAAAGCATTTTTTGAAAAGTAATTAAATCCTCCTACCTGTTGCTGAGTCTTGTCTGCATGGATGACATCCACATTGATGCCTTCATAAACGAGCTCATGGAAAAGCTCTTTAGCCCTCTCAATAGACTGTACAAAAACAAGGACTGGAGGAGCAAAACCCTGCAAAAGAGTAAGTTTATCTCAAGTTCAAAAGTCCTTTTTCCTTGCAGAAACTGAGACACAGATTTGGCCAATGGTTTAACACGTGCCAGAGAAGTCTTTGAGCTGGGAAATTAGGAGTTTCTGACGGAGCACCCAGCTCAGTTCAGCAGGAAGCAGGACGTGCTCAGTCTCTCCAAATACCTTTTTAACAAGCTCTCTCATGGCTGTTAGCTTTCCTGTCTCAGATCCAACAAACAACAGCTCTTGTTCTACTGTCTCTGCTGCAGAGTTTCTGAAATCAGAAATCCAACAGAAATGTGCTCCCATTAGTGTTTTTATACATATATATATAAAAATAAATACATCTTTTACATATTAATATATACAAAATCCGTAAAATATTACTTGTTTAATGAGAAATGCTGCACAACAAAACTATTTCACCAGTGCACGCTCCTAAGATTAACGCTTATTTGATGATAAAGCAATTGGCAAAAGGAAAAGAACAACTCATTCAGCATGTGAGAAAGATCTATGTGCCCACACAATTCTTTTCTGGAGACACAAAACCTGCAGCACTGTGACTAACAACATCCATGAAACCGAGCAGGCTGATGACACAAAGAAAAATTTCCCAGGAACTAAAAAAGAACTGGAGGAAGTCCAAGTCCACCTGCACACCCACCTTGCCCCAACAGACACGAGGACAACGCTGTCCAGGTTGAGCTTGCACCACTCCTCCACGTCGTGGGCGAAGGTGGCACTGAACAGGGCCCTCCTCACCAGGTGGGAGGTACAGCCCAGGAAGATGGAGGCCAGCTGCTCCCGGAATCCCGACTTCCCGTCCTCAAACAGCTTGTCCGACTCGTCCACCACCAGCCACTCCACACTAGGAACAGGGAGGTTTGCTTTTCAGTACAGCCACCACTTCTGAGTGGCAAAGCCAGATTTGGGACAGACTCTCCCTACCTGCTCAAGTCTATTGCTGGAGGATCTTCTTTCAGCAAATAAATGAGTCTGTTGGGAGTAGTAACCAGAATATCTATGAAAAGAAAAAAATGCAAAATGTTGAAAAAGACACCAAATAAACCAGTCTCAAAGGGCCCTGAGAAACACCAGTTCCAATCCAATCTGCCAGAGGTACAGTTTAACAGAGTCCAGGTCAGGCTCACTTCCCATTTCTCCCCTGCCACTCTCAGAGCATTGCACAACAGATCACACGCCCTGAGTGTCACTAACCATCTCCTTAAAGCCACACAGCCCAAAGAGAAAGGTCAGTGACATATTTGACATTTTTAGAAGCACTTCAGTCACTGAAACAGTTACCAAATTTCTTGGAAGACTTGGGCCCAAACTTCTTGGCTGCTTCAGCTGCCTTGTGGATCATGTGTATCCTGAAGCCTGTGCCCTCCGCCAGCTTCACCAGCTCCCGGTGGGTCTGAAAAGGCAGCAGAGGTGGATTTTCAAACTGAGCTGAAGAGCTTTTCTAACCAAAAAATCACAGAATCATGGAATGGTTTGTGTTGAAGGAGATCCTAAAGATAATCGAGACCATGGGCAGGGACACCTTCCACTATCCCAGGTTGCTCCAAGCCCTGTCCAACCTGGCCTTGGACATTTCCAGGGATGAGGCAGCCACAGCTTCTCTGGGCAACCTAATCCTGAAGATACAGCTTCAAACATCACCCTGATTTCAGTGTTAAGAGAAACCTCTCTGGTTTTCCTAGCATAATAAAACACAGCTCCCTAACATGCATTATTCCCTTCAAAGTTCTCACAGGTCTCACTACAATATGTAGCTCCTAAAAGTCCCCTCTGCCATTTGAATAAAACCTGCCCAATGTTGTCCTTTTTATTTCATTTTAATAACACAACTGCAATATAAAGCTATTCCTTGAAATTCTGTGTTTGGGACAAACAGATAAACCTCTCATAGCAATCTCAAGTAGGAAAGGAGGTTTTAAGAGCACCTGAGCATTGGGCAGTTTAAAATATGATCAAAGAATCTCGAGCCTCTAATCTAATCATTTAGATTAGACTCAGATAGTAGATATGTACCTACTCCACAGAAGTCAAAGGACTTAAAAGAATCATTTAAATTATCTTTTTTCTGATATCTGAGGGTAATAAAGGAGAAAAAATATTTACTAAGCTGCTATTTTACTGATTCTGAGTGAAAACTTTGAAGTACATCAATTTGACAAGACCTTTCCCCTCAACACACACCTGGCTGGCAAGTTCTCGGGTCGGTGATATGATCACAGCCCTGAATCCTTTGTTCCTGGGTTGTTTCAGATGTGTTAAGAGAGGGATACAAAATGCCAGTGTTTTTCCAGACCCAGTAGGAGCTGAAGCCAGAAGCTCTCGACCCTGTAAGAAAAACAAGGGGGTTGTATTTCACTAGGGTAAAAAAAAGGAACAAAAATCACATTCCCAGAAATACCAACGGTGCAAACTGACCCAAAATACCTCAGGAAATGCACATTCCAGGACTACTGCAATGGCTAAGTTCTGAACTCTGATGCAGTTGATTTATCTCTAAACCTGTCCCAGACACTGCCACGATCCCAAACTTTGCCAGAATCCCTGAAACAAAGCACAGTCCCAGAGAACTTACGTGCAGCATGACGGGAATCGCCTGCATCTGGATCGGAGTGGGGACATGGAACCCTGCAGCCTGGATGTTCTCCATGATTTTAGGGTGCACCTTGTACTCCTCCTGAAGCTGGTCAAAGGTGGCAATCGGGTCAGGGAGATCTGTTCCCTGAATGTTGATCCTGTGCTGATTCCTGAAGCGATTTATCTAAAAGGCAAGAGACAAACTCTTTCTTTTTACCTTGACACCATAAAACCAAATCTGGATTCACCTTCTGGTTCTTTACCCCACACTCAGTCACCCTCCTCCCAAGAGGAAATGAATAAATGAATTAACTGAGTAAATAAACCTCAATTTCCAGATAAAACAGCCACTGAACCCCAGGAATCTGTTTCTACATCAGAATTCCCTGCTCCCACCTTTTCTCTCCTCAAGCGTTCAAGCTTCTCTGCAGTAGGTTTTTTGTCTTTTGTCTCTTCAAGTTTTGCTTCCAGAGAGGACATCCACTTTATTCCATTGTTTTCTGACAGCTCTGGCATTGATGCTGCTCCTGCAAGTTCCAAACAAATTGAAATTTCCATTAGTAAAATCCAGACAAAAGTTATTTGGAGACAAAGAACATCTCAAACCCTGTTTTCTCTCATTCTCAATAAAATTAACAAAGATTCCAAAAGGATGGCAACCACATCCCCCTTCAGTGTCAACACTGAATCTTGTCCCAGTTATTTGACCTGCTCTGACCCAGACCAGTCAAGGAAGCCAGAAGCATTTTTTACTCTGGTAAAATGATCTACAGGACCTGCAGAATTAAAATAAGCTGAAACAAGGAAGAAATATAAACTTCTTCAGGGTATTCATCAGTGACAGGACACGAGGAAATGGCTCTAAGCTGAAGGAATGTAGGTTTAGATGGGATATTGGGACAAAATCCTTCCCTGTGAGGGTGGGGAGGCCCTGGCACAGGTTGCCCAGAGAAGCTGTGGCTGCCACATCCCTGCAAGTGTCCAAGGCCAGGTTGGACGGGGCTTGGAGCAACCTGGGATGGTGGAAGGTGTCCCTGCCCGTGGCAGAGGGGTGGCATGGATGGGCTTTAAGGTCCCTTCCCACCCAAACCATTCCAGGACTCCGTGATGATTCTGCCCGGGATACACGTGTATGCATAAAAATACCTCGCGTCTTTTTCTTTTTTCTTTTCCCCTCACTGCTTTCTGCCGTTCTTTTTCTCTTTCCCGCCGCCTCTCCATCGTTTTTCCCTGCTCCATCCTTCTGCTGCTTCACCTCCTCTCCAGCCCCCGCGAGCCCCCAGCCCTCCTCGGCAGACCCCCGAGGGGCTCCCTCCTTGTTCCCGAAGAAGTCGAGACTCTCCAGGGAGACGCTGCCGTGGTTTTCCCTGACCACCTGCGGGAGAAGCGGGACGAAGCTGAGCCTCCATGTGCAGCCCCCGCGGGCGGCGGGGGCGGCGCTCCGGAGCCTGAACCGCGCAGGGGCCGTTCCCCGAGCCCCCCGCGGCCTCCCCGCGGTGCCCCCTCACCCCGAAGCGCCGCGCGTCGCCCCCGAAGCGCCGCAGGTCGAAGCGGGCCCCGGCGCCCAGGCGGCGGAACAGCTCGTGGGTCTCCATGCTGCCTTCCCGGCATCCCCCGCGCGCCCGCCGGAAACGGGGAGCACTTCCGGCCCGGCTGCCATGGCAACCGCCTCGCGCGTGTCGTGGCGACGCGTCGCCATGGCAACGGCGGTCAGGCTTCGCTAGGCCGCGGCGGGCCTGAGCCCGCGGGAGAGGCCGCAGCGACATGGGCACGGCTGTCGCGACAGCGCGAGGGGGGAAAGCGAGGATTCCTCCCTCTTGTGTGCTTGTCACTCCCTCCGGTCCGGCCCCTTCCATCTCTGCTGCAGTCCCAGCGGCTGGAAGGGACTTGACCGGAGGATGTTGTTGCTCAACCGCTTTGCTTAATCCTTGATTTATACTAATACAATCCAGCCTCACAACTGTGCCTGAAGAAAGAAACCCTTGAGGCCATGACAGGAGCAACCCAGTAACTAGTGCAGCTGCTCAAGCCACTTGAGAGTTTGCCCAGATTAAGATCAGAATTTACTTAATTCGTGTATTTATTCATTATGATAAACTGTGAGATCTAATAGTGCAGGTAAATCTATCAGATCAAACAATACAGATATTTTTTTCCTGGTTTTTCTTGAAGTAAAACAAACAGAAATCCAATTAAGCAGCAACAAAATCTATAGAACGTAATAAAGATCTCAAGGGGTAAAGGTTTACATTGCTGAAATCCAAGAACTCTAAGACATATAGGCAATGGCTGTTCCTCCTGTCACATTCACTACTTTAATAACAAACTCTGAAATGAAAAATTGGGTAAACCTGATCCTCCCCTCCGTCCCTCTCTGCCTGATTTATAGCGCTTTCTCTTTGCCAAACTTTTAACTTCCCAGCAGAAGTGGGAGCAGCCACACAGAGCTCTGGGTGCAGAGCACCACAGCGGTGACAATTCCCTTGTTTGTGTCCCCAGAGGTGTATTTACAGTGAATAAAGACCCAACTTTGCATCCTTCATGCTGTTCCCAGGCTGAGGCTCCTGCTTTTCTGCCGGGAGAAGTGACTGTGGTTGCTGCGAGAGGATGGGGAAGAATGTGGAGGCATTTGTGTAACAAAGAACTATAAATCATCTCCAATATCCATCACTCACCAAGGGATGCTGTCGGCAGACTCAAGAGTGAGGAAACAGGGAATATTCTCTTCGTCAGGCGACTGGGAAATCCCTTTGTGTAAGGAGGGAGCAGCTCTGCTTCCGAGGAGGCAGCACCAGGCATTGGGTGGGCAAAGAGCTGTGTGCCAGGAGTGAGACGCTGTAGAATCATGGAATATCCTGACCTGGAAGGGACACACAGGGATCATCCAGCCCAACTCCTGGCCCTGCACAGACACCCCAGCAATCCCGCTCTGTCTGTGACAGCATTGTCCAAACACTCCTTGAGCTCTGTCAGCCTTGGGGCCGTGACCACTGCCCTGGGGAGCCTGGTCAGTGCCCAACCACCCTCTGGGTCTATCAGGGCTCTTTTCACCCTTCTCCTGTGTTGCTCCTGCTTTGTGAGCGAGGTGACCTTGCAGAGAAGGGCTGCTCTCAGGTGGGCACTGCAGCAACCCCACAAGGCAAAGGATGACTTGCTTTGTTCCCTGTAACAGACCCAAACCAGTAAAGAAAAAGCACAGAGTCTCCTTGCAGGGAGTTCCCACTCCATCTCTACTACAGCAAACAAGAAACATGCACCTGTTCCAGCTAAAAGAGAAGCATCAATCCCCCCAGACACAGCCACAGCCACACTCAGGAGCGGTGGCAGCATTTATTGCACCAGCTTGTGTCTTTATTTTAACCCCCTCACCTGGTTGTACGTGCAGAGGAACACGGCCCTTCCACACACCAGGGCTGGATGAAGGTATATCAGAGCAGGGAAGTGCTGGCCCGTGTGCCTGGAGTTGCTGGCAGGATGCCTGGAGGCTGGACTGGGATGTGGGGGAGAGCCCAGGCTCCTGGTTTCATTTGTTATCCTTGCAGAGAGTCCCTGGGACCGCAGAAGGTGATGAACAGCCAGGTACACTCCTGACCCCAGTGCAACCCTGCCCTCCAGGAGCTCAGGGACCTCCGTGGTGGTGCAGAGCAGCCCAGCTGAGATGTGCTGTTCTCATCCTCAGGCTGTGCCCGACACATGGAGCCGAAATAAAACCCTGTAAGATGGCAAAGCAAATCAGCTGAGCACATTTGTTCCATCATGTGCACACCCAGATCAAAGATCCCTACCTGCAGCCGTGGGCTCCCCTCCTGAAAAATCCCAGCTAAGCCAATCCCTTCCCCGTGTGTGTGTTCGTTTGTCCCACAGGTGTGAGGCAGGAATTAGAGGGCAGCGGGACTCGTGCACATCTGCCCCCCACGTCCTGCCCTCCTGCTACATCATCATCACTAATATGCACATAACAGTCAATTAGCCTGGCTGGGTGCACTGGTGACCTCTGATCCCTGCTGTGTCCCCCGATCCATTACCAGCCCTCAGCCCCGGCTCTCAGTATGAATTGATGTAGCCCCCATTCTCTTGCGGCACAGAAACATGCGTCCTCATTCATCTGTCCACTTCCACTTTCTGTTCCTTTGTCCTCCCCTTCTGTTCCCTGTGTTGCTTAACCTGGTCACCACTTCTTGACCCCACATCCTCGTCCCTCCCAAGGGTGTTGTAATCCCAACCACTAGCAAAAAAACTTTTACTTTTTTTTCCCCTTTACTCACATCTTATTTAGCAAAAAATGGTTTCCAGCAGTGTGGGAGCTTTGATCCCCTATTTAAGAAATCCTTACAATGTTTTTTTAAAGACTTTCTTTCTAAGGCAAATGAATTCTTCATAAAGGGGGAAATGGTGTGCTGGTTGGGCTCTGTTCGTCTGAGGAAGACAAATGATCTGTTTTATTACTTGAAAAGCATAACAGTTGAGTGTGCAGATTTGTGATTTATCTGTAATTAAGATTCCATTTGAACAGCATATTAATTACAGAGAGAAGAATTAATTTTGCTGAATAGAAAAGTAAAACCAAAGTTCCTTGAGTTAGAAGGTAACATAGAATGCCTGAGGTTCAGGATTTGTGTGGCTCTGCATTACACCTACACTGGGACAGGACAACTCTAGGGGTTTTTTTGACTTTCAAGTTTTATCCCTGGGTCAGAGAAATAAAGTCCAGGGGGTCAGAGCCTTCTCCCTGCCACTGCTGGTGGCTCCCACAGCGCTCCCGTTCTGGCTCTGCTGAGCCCATTGTGCTTCTCCTTTGCCCCAGGGCTCCACCAGGACCTGCCAGGCTCCCACCACCTGCAGCAGGGGGAAAGGACCTTCCAGGATTAAATGAAGGTGCTCCCTGTGCCAGCCAAGCCCTGCAGCCCCTGGGAACATCAACCCTGAGCTTCCATTTACCCCTTTACCCGTGTGCTACAGTCCGTGGCTCAGTCTGTTCGCACCAGGTGTTTCACCTGACCACACGCAGTGAAACCAGACTCCTTCCTTCCTCCAAGTGTCCGTCCCTAGTCCCCAGAGGACCCAGGGTGGTGTCTTGTCCATCTCCTCCGTGTGGGAGATCTCGTCACATTCACAGGGGGAAGGAAAGTGAGAGACTTGGGCGTCTGCCTGTGAGGGACCTTTAGGGAGCAGATGGTGTGGAGCAGCTCAGGAGGTTTGCTGGGACTGCTGTGGTGGGTGTGCAGGGATGGACCTGCTGGTGCTCACAGGTGGAGAGGCAGCCCTGGCTCATCCCTATGGGATGTGGAGCACTGCAGACATTGGCCTGTCATGGCAGAGGGTTGGGATATCAGGATATCAAGGCTCCCTGGTGAGCCCCAGATTTGCAGGTCCCTTGGCTGCTGGGGGAGGCCAGTGCAGGGCAGTGCAGCAGCAGGCGTGGAAGCCACGGCACCTGGAGCTGCAGGAGCAATCAGAGATGCACTGGAGCAGGCAGAGAGGTTTTCTCTGGACACTGAGTGCATTTTAAAGTGTTTGTCCGCGGTGCATTGGTTCAGGACAGTAAACTCTTACGGCGCTATTCTGCTGGTCTTTATGGCTCACAACTCTGCCCCCATCACATTTTCATGGACTTGTGAAGACCTCCTGTGAGCACATCATGGACACCCCATGGCAGCAGGAGACAGGATCAACACCACACCCCCTGGCACAGGGATTCCTCCGGCTCCATGTACCTGTTCCCGCGGCCAGACCGCAGTGGGGAGCTGGCAGCGCCTGCAAACAGCCCAGCCTCCCAACACAAGCACTTTCTGCATTCCTCTGTGTACTCCTCAAACTCCGCCACCAGCCCAACCGAATCCTCTCAAAGGCTTCAAAGGGCAGAGCCTGTTTGCTGTCCGCAGGGAATGACAATGCTTTCCCTTTTGACCTGTCGCGCAGGACGGCAGCGCTGGGCAGCCATGCGCGGGATGCACCGGTGGGGAGCACAGCCCCAGCCTCTGCACAGCCCCACGCCACTGCTGCTGCTTTTCCTGCTGAGATTTCCAGCAGATCCGGCCATCTGGCTGGACTGGCAGAACGAGTCTGGAAAGCCCGCGCGTTGAGCCGGTGCTGTTGCGCAACTGCGTGTTACCCACACGCTCACACCGAGGGCACTCGTAAAGCTGCTGGAATTGCTCCTTGTACTTCGGGGAGTTTGGAAAGGTCGGTGCCTCCCTGGCCAGCAGGACATCTGCTCCCCCACAGGGATTACCTGGGACTTCCTCAGCAATCCATGTTTGCTGCCAGACATGTGAGCTGGCCTGGCTGCAGCCCAGCCAGCACCAGAGCCCTGGGATGGCTGTGGGGTCCCAGCACTGCCCTGGCAGTGAGGTCTTCACCCTCACCAGGCTGCTGTCAAGCACCTGGGGACAGGGGCCACAGCACCAGGTGCCCCAGAGCTCGGCCAGCAGCCTGCACACAGTGTTTCCCCTGGACAGGGTTTCCCTGACTCTGTTCCTCCCGCAGTGATGGAGGTGACAGGCGCCACGGAGCCCCAGTCCCCAGGCACGGCTGCAGCCCCTGCCGAGGGCTCCTGCTCATGGTTTGATAAAGCCTTGTCATGGCCCCTGGGGCATGTGGAGAGGGTGGCTCAGCTGGTTTTGACCCAGTGACTTTGCTGGCAGCACTGAGGATGCTGTAGCACAAGCAGGAGGCAGTCAGGGCACGGGATTTACCCACCAGGCAGGTGTCACTGGCTGTGCACGACTCTGGAGGTAAAGGAGAGGTCACGCTCCTGCCCAGCCCTCCCACATCCACCTTCACACCTTTCAGAGCTTCCCCATGCCCTTCCCCTGACCCACAGCCTGTGCAGAGATCCACTACAGCCCTGACCCTCACTGTTACCCCTTGGCCTTGGCCACGCTGGGATTTGGGGGATTTTTCCTTTGCACTCACACTTGCACTTCAAATTAAATGCAGCCCTGTCCCTTTGCCCTGCCAGGAAGGAGCCTGCAGTTCACATGAAGACAGCCTGCTAAAGCCTCATGGCAGCCTGTGGATCCTCAAGTGCAAGGAATTCCCTTATAAGCAGCTTTGAACTGTAAAACAATCACTTGGCTCTGTAAAACTGTATTGGCCATAAATGAACTTTGTCATGGCTCTGCTGGTTTCTTTGCTCCATAACAACTGCATCACGCGCAAACACAACGTGCCCAACAACAACAGGAGGAAAAAAATACCTTCCAGGAGCCTCATTTGACATGGCACTGTATTTTCCAACAATTTAATGAGGTAGCCAGGGAACCTGCAGGAGCAAACACCTCACCCAGGGCTTCTCCCAGCAGGGTGAGGTCTGGCCAGGGACAGCCCAAGCCCAGCTGCTGCAGTGGCTGCTCTGGAAAGTAGTTTTGGGTGGTATTTACCACCCAGAAAGGTTTTCTCAGCCAGAGGGTTAAATCCAAATCACGGGATCCTTTCTCCCCATGAAGGGATGTGTAGCACCCACAGCATCCTTAGCAATCCACGGGGCTTTCTCCCTTTCCATCTCCTGCCATTCAGGGTGAGTGACAGCACAAAACACACTGTTGGGCAACTTCATAAATTCACAAAAGTGAATTTGGGAAAGTACCATCTGTTCTTAATCATTTGTTGTACTCACATTATTGGCTTTATCCTGTCTGCTTTATCACACTCTGCTCCAGTCACCTACTCCACCTGTGTCTTTGGATGGATCCTATGCCCTTTTCCCCAGTTTTCTTTTGGCTTAGTCTCCCCTTCTTCACCAGGTCCCTCTCTGGTGGGGTCAAATCTCAAAGTCTCCTTTTCCCAAGGTTTCCACTTACCTTCCCTGCAGAGCTTTCTGGAGGGCAGCACTGATCCTGAACCACTTATCCAAGAGTGCTTCACACATAGTTTTCACATCCTGAGCTCCATCCTTTTCAGCCTGTGACTCTCTTAAAGCTGGTGCAGAAATCAAACCCCAGAAGGCAGAACTCCCCTCGGGGCATCAGCTCAGCTGCACCAGGTTATCTGCACTCTGGGGCTTTGGAAAGGACTTGCTGAGCAGGAAAGTGCCAAGAGGATCTCAGAATAAAACACGCATCTTGTCCCTCCAACTTTTGCTAAAAGAGAGCATCACTTCCACATCTGCCTGAAAGGGACTGAGCAGTCTTCATGACTCCAGTTTTTGTCTGGGGCAGCTAAAATTCACAAACATACCCCATGGGAATGTTTTTATTGGGGTGTCCTGCTCCAGCTGTAAGGGTGAGTGCCAGATTTCTGCCCGAGAACCTTTCCCACAGCAGCCCACACTAAACTTCTGAAAAAAATGGGTGCCAAACCAAAACCAGCCATTTTTGAAGGCATTTTTAAACCCACACCTGCCCTGCACTGTATCTTCAGCAGGGTTCCACCCTTTCCCACTGCTGTGCTCCGAGCCACAGCTCTGTTACCTCTTTACAATCAAAGACCTTCAAAAGCTTTTCAGCCACCAGAGCACACCCTCCCGCCTGCCCCTCGTGCTTTACTGACCACCAGCTCAGCATCCAAAACGGGTGGGGCTTGGCCTTGGCACTCAGGTCCTATTTGGTTTGCTTAACAAACTGCTGCTAAAGTTAGCAGAGAATGAGGAATAAACTGTGCTGGACTAAGGGCAGCATCCTTAGGGCATCGTTAGGAGGGTGAGGACAAGAATCTCCCCACCTCCCGGAGCCTCCTGCTACTTTTGGCTGATACCTGAGGATTCATAGGAAACACTTGATTCCCCACATCCAGGCAGGTAGAAACTGCAGAGATCAGCACTGCAAGGGACATCAGGGGGACGTGTCACTGCCACCAGCCTGTGTCCCTGCCAGACCAACCTCTGCCAAACCACGGCAGATGATGACTGTGGAGTCTACAGACCACACAGCAGCAAGGACTCGGAAGAAATGGTGTTTAATTATGGTATACATTAAATTAAATGTCATTCTGAATATTGGTCTCCAATTCCTGATAACTTCTTATTCACCATAGGACAACTCCTCTCAGTCCCAGTGTGGGTGAGGGTCCCACTGCACTAGACATTGGACAAACAGAGCCAAAGAGACTTTCTCAGCCCAAAGAAATCACCCGGTGTTTTTCTTTTTGGCAGTGGTCATCAGTCCACAGGCACTTCTGCTGCTCTCCATCTCTCTAAATCCCTCTCAGCAGTTGGCACACGCTGTGAAGTTCATGAAGATTCAGCACAACTGGGAAGCATTAGATCCATTCACAGAGGGGAGCAGGTACAGAGGAGCTCATTCCACGGCGGGGAGATGATGCCCTTTACAGCTTCCGTGGCTTTGGGAGGTAGGACTTGGGCCCCCAGAATCCTTCAGGGCTCTGGTGTCTGTGCTCAGCAGGTGCCTGAGGGGCTGGGATGTGGGATCATTCACAAGCTGGAGATCTTGCTGTGGAGCTTTTCATCCAGGAGCTGCTGCAGGGTGAGACGGGGCAGGCAGCTGGAGTGTTCACACCACAGCCCAAATCCCATGCATCCAGCACCTCGGAGGGGACTGCTCCAGGATGAGAGCACCCTGTGTATTGATAAGGGTGGAGCCAACAAGGCTCATCACCAACTGCTAAAGGTGGAAAGAAGCCACCTGTACTGGCCATTTACTGGGGCAGGAGCTGGGCACCCAAACCCTTCTGCACCCCGAGGGAGGACAAAAGGGACACAGTCTCTGAACCCCACCTGAGGAAGATTCCACCAGAATTTCTTGCAGCCTCATTCACCTCTGTAGCACCAAATGCTACAGGCTCACCTGGAAACTGCCAATGCTGAACGCTTCCCCACGGGCTGGATGTGTTCACCAGGCTGCTGAGTCCTCCCCCACCCCACCAGAGTCCGTCTGAGAGTCCTCAAAAGCAGGAAAGTCGTAGTGGCACTTTTCCCCACATGGATCATCCAGGTCCTGCCAGGGCTCTGCTCAGCTTGTCCTGTGCCCTTCCTTCTCATGGGATGTCACCATGCAGGGGACACGTGTCTGCCTGTCCTCCCGCAGAGCAGAGCCCAGTGCTGCCTGACCGGTGTCCTTGCCTAGGCCCAGCATTTGAATTCACTCATTTAAAGGGAAAACAGAAATACAAAACCAAACCCATCCTCAGCTCTGACCTTTACCAAAAAAAAAAAAAAAAAAGGCAAAAAACAAATGGGAGAAAGAGAAGAGATTCTGGACCAATATATACAGATGGGGAATTGCACTTAATTACAGTAGTTTACATCCATTGGACAAAATTTACTTCTTTTTTATATAAATCTCTGTGTATAGGAGTGGGGAGGGGGGAGGATGGAGCAGACTGTACCTCTATTTACAGTTCAATTGGCTCAGTTCAACAGCACATGCAATTCCTCCCTCCAAATGCCAAGTAACAGACCCCAGTCCCCCTCAGTCCGTCGGGTGGAGGAGTACAAACAACTTCAATATGATCCATCTTCCCCTTCTGCCTGTTCCCAGCACAGCTCGTGCCTGGTCCCTCGGGAAAGCCAGCGGCCTCTTGGAAGGCGAATACTTAAGAATAAAAAAATCCCCAAGACACGTCTTGGAAATACTGCGTGGAGGGAAGGAGAGGCTGGGTCCGGGCTGGCTCCGGGTCGGGCTGTCGGGCTCCTCGCTGCGGCGCTGGGCTGTGCTCTGGGCTGTGCTCTGGCGGGCGGCTCCCCGGGCTCGGAGCGCGGCTCGCCGCCGGGATGTTGTGGAAAATAAGATCCCGTTGCTATGTGCAAAAGCAGCGAGGTGTGGAGCATCACCAGGCTTGCAGGGGACACTGTGGAGAGAGAGAGAGAGCGGCACGGTGACCAGCAGGCAGGGAGGGAGGCAGGAGGAGGAGAAGGCAGCACCGCGGAGGGGGGTCGTGGGGGCACCGCATTTGGAGGCATCACCTCCTGCACCTCCCTGGGACCTCGCTGGTGCCACACAAGCTCGGCCCCAAGCCCTCCCCAGCACCCCTGAGGGGGAGGCAGTGGGAAAACACTTTCTGAGCCAGCTATTGCCACCCCCTCCCAAAAATAATAAAAAAGGGCCTGATTGTGCCCAGGCTGTTGCAGAGATTGTGCCAAGAGCAGCCAGGCATGAGGCTGAGCTTGGCTGGGGTGGGAGTGGGGCTGGGGCCTCATCGCTGTCCCCCAGCATTGCTGCCACCTCCAGGGAAGGAGCTGAGCACCCACCACCACGTCCATCCCACCGCAGCAGCCCCTTCCCCATCCCTTGGGGTCCCCCCAGCCTGCAGCGGGTGGGGGGCTGGGGGCCGGGTGACCTTGTGGGCTGGAGCACACAGCAAACATCATGAGGCGGAGATAAGGAGACGCCAGGAGCCTCCCTGACATGTCATTAGGGACAGGGCTGTGGCTATCAGGTGTTTGCCAACGTAATAAACATGGTGGCTCGGCCTCAAGCGTTGTCAAAGGAACAGGGAGGTATTTGCTCCTTCCAGGTCTAAATAACAACATCTGATAAGAGATCCACAGCATGTGAGGGGAGAGCTGGGGGGTGACCAGGGACCTCCCTCCAGCCTCTGTCCCGTGGCAGGACTGGGAGCAGCCACCTCCACCACAGAGAGTGTTTTGGGGTCTGGTAGGGGCTGTGGGTACAGAACTGCTGCTGGGAATGACAGAGGCTTTGCTTTATGGGAGAATGCCTCTCCTCTAGCAAAGAGGGGGTGCTCAGGGAGCAGCAGCACACCCCCCAGATTTGGGGTCTCACGTGGGGTGTGAACCCCCAGGGTTTACCTGGGTGCTCCCACCAGCAGCACCAGCCCTTGCCCAGCAAACTGCATCCCGAAAACTGCAACTCCCTGGGGATCCAAGTGACCCTCCTGGCCTCTCTGGCCACCTCAGATGAGCCTGTCATGTCAGGAATCCTTGTGCCCAGCCGTGCCTGCTTTATGCTGAGGCAAAGTGTGGAAGGAGCCAGGGGATGGCCCCCGGCATCCTCAGTCAGCGACAGAAACCCAAATCACCAAAATTATTCAGGTATTTGAGCCACATTGGGGGGTGAGCAGCATTTAGTCCCCCCTCAGCTGTCTCTGTTGCACTTTCATTCACCCCTTGCTAATGAAATCAATGACCACTGAGAAAGAAATCAATGGTCAAAGATAAATTTTTCCAGATTTAACCTGGACATCAAATGGTTGGTAGGAAAAGAGACCCTGAGGGCTGGGAGGCTTCGCTGGCCAGGGACTTGTGTGGGGGTACAGATTCTGCCCTGGCACTTGCAGGACTGGCCTGTGCTTGTTTATCATGTACAGGGGGGGCAAAGGGGAGGTGGGTGCCCCTTTGCCACAGCAGAGGAAGGGTCCTGACCCCATCTTCCCCCTCCTGAGCCGTGAGACCTCCTCCTGCTTTAACTAAAGTGCCCAGGAGGGACAAACCCGCGGGACCCCCCACCCCGGGCAGCACAGTGTCCAGGCAGGGTGAGCACTGCATCCGAGCAGGGCACCATCTCCCTGCCAGGGACATTTCCTGTGTGCCCAGGGCTCTCCAGCCCGGCATCAAAGGCAGGAGAGCTCAATTAATCAGGGGCAGTTCGGGCTGAGCGCTCAGCAGATGGGCCGATAACGCCGCGCCGAGGAAATGGTGCTGGAGGGGTGGCCATGCCTGACCGACTCACCCCGAGACCTGCACAGCGTGGGACCCCTGGGGGGAGGGGGTTTATCATCCCTTCCCAAGCCCCCCAAACCCCTCTGGGCAGCCCCTCTCCCAGTGTCTCCCCTTTGCAGCCCCAGCCCCTTCCTTCATCCCCGCTGGGCACCCAGAGGGGGTCTCACAGTGATCCCATGGGGGGAGTCTCCCAGCAATCCCACGGGGGGGCTCCCAGCAATCCCACACTGTATTTACTCTGTGCTCATTGCAGACATTTTTTTCCTGTCCCCTGTCAAATCTTGGTAAGAAAGTTTATCTGAATGCAAGTTCAAGGCTCCCTCTTATTTATCTAGCGATCAATAAGGGCCACATATTTCCCACAGTCCCCAGAGCTGGCTCTCAGAAAGGGACTATTGTCTGAGGAAAGCCTCACACACCTGATTTGAACCAGGATAAGTTCGGCCTTACACCTGCACTGGGCAGATGATAAAGGTTTATGGGCTGGGGGGTCAGGGCACATCAGAACAACTCCTCCACTTGACTCCAGCCAGGGTCAATCCCCCCAGGACACAGGCAGCAGAATGTGCTTGGTCTGACTTTCTCAGCCCAGTTTGTATCCCAGCAGGATGCTCCCACTCTCATGCAGGTGCCCCAGGGATGAGCACAGCCTGGCTGGTACCACCAGGCGCTAAGACTAAGCCCCAAATCCCCATCACGCCACTTGCAAGCAGATTTTTTGGAGCCCGTGAAGGGTGTGGGATGGGGTTCTCAGCACCAAGGGCTCATCCTCAGATGCCCATGCAGGTGCAGCACAGGCAGCAGGACGGGGTCTCTGCTACTTCCACCTCCACCCCCATACCCAGAGGGGGAAAAGCCCCATTCCATCTTCCCACACCCACCCGGCTCCACCTCAGCCACCTCTGCAAGGCCATTACCTGCTTACTGGAAGACATATTGGTGAGTGTGCTGATGCTGCTGGTATCCGTCACCACCATCGCCGAGGGGAAGCGGGAGGTGTGGGAATACTGGGGAGGCTCCTGTTTGTGTGCATACACTGTGGAGAGGAGGGAGACAAGTGAGGGAACGGCCACCCACTGCCCTCACAGCGGGGCAGAGCAGTGCACTGCATGGCACAGCACAGCAGAGCCAGGCACCAGCTCAAGGCATCATGGAAACATGGATGAGATGAAACAAGTCATGGGAGGAACCCACCACTTGCTTCCAAACCGCTGCATTCTCAGGTGGCAGCTCACCCAAGCAGCAGCTCACTCAGGGAAAGAGTGGGGACTGAAGAGCTGCGGCTGGATCAGGTGGATGGCACAGGAGAAGGAGAGCGTGAGGCTGGATATGGCCACCCTGCTCTACTGAGCATCTCCTGGGCTGGTACCCATGGGAGAGAGGCAGCAGCCAAGGGCACCAGCTTGGGCAGGGCAGAGCACGAGGAGAGCACAAGCTCGTTTCCCATCTGAGTTAATTTTCAGGGCCCTCCACAGCTCCCCCCGACCCTTACTGTGAGAGTTCTGCAGCTGGGTCACGGTGGCCATGAACGGCTGCTGTGTCATGTGGCCGGGGGACTGCTGCATCAGCGGCTGCTGGTGGGGGCTGTGGAGCTGCTGGGAGAACTGCACGGGCTGCAGGGCTGCCAGGCTGCCGGCAACGCTGTTGATCACGGGCACGCTCTGCCCCTGCGAGGTGTTCAGGCCTGGGAGGAGGGAGAGAGCACAGTAGGGGTGTCAGTGCGGGCAGGAGTGGGCAGTGTCCCAGGAGGGCAGTGTCCTCCCACAGGAGGGGGGGTGGAGGTGAGCTGGGGGTGCACTTACTCTGTGCGATGGCCATGACTCCCGAGAGCGGCGTCATGATGAGGTTCTGGGACTGCTGCGGGTTGTGGTGGGACAGGCTGTGGATGTTGGTCAGGGTGCTCACCGGGGGCAGCCCACCCCCCGAAACGGAGATCTGCCAGAGAGGAAGGCGGGATAGGCACTGTCAGAGCACAGCCAAAGGGGTGCTCCCCCCTCCACTTCAGCAGGGAGACCGGAGGGGATCGGCAAAGCCCCCTCCTAGAGGTGAGCAGGCACAGCCCACACTGCTCCGGGGTGCAGACCCTGCTGAGGCACCTCAACTTCGTGTTAATAAACAGCAAAGCAGCACAAGAACAAGAACTGGCACTCTCCAGCTCCATCAGAGCACAGCACCAGGACATGACACATCCTGAGCCTTGGCCATTTTATTCCCCAAGCTCTGGCCCTCGGGGACAACTGAGGACTCTCAACACTCATTAACTTCTAACTGTCACACTTGTAGGGGAAAGTGGGACATAGGAACTTGGGAAGGTGAAGAAAAGAGACAAAAAGCAGATAAAAAGGGCCTCATGGTGGTGATCTCAGTCACCAAGCTGGCAGGATACTGGTGAGATGGGGCGAGCATGCTCAGCCAGAGCCAGTGCCCAGGATTTCAGGCCAGGATTTAGGGATCAGGCACAAAGGCACTTGGTGTGTGCTGCCAGGACTGGAGCTGGTCCCCAGGACCAGTGGGGGCCAAGTGCCTTAATTCTTTAATTGCTGCACCTTCTCCTAATCCCTCTCATTAGCCCTTTCACACTGAGAGACCTCGATCCCGACTCAGAGCCATCCCTGTGGCCCTTCAGGTGACATTTCTGGACACCAGCTCCGAGCACCTTGTTTATTTTCCACATGTGAGTCGGAGATAGCAACTGAAACAAATCCATCAATAAATTCCAAAGCCCGGGAGTGACTCATATTTCCTGATCCGGTATTTTCCACTTTCAAAGTCTCTTCAAGGCCAGGTTACACCACACTCGGCTGCACAAGTCAAACAGCTCAAGGCAAGCACACGCTGCTCGCCCACAGCCCGGGCTCCTTTCACAGGGTGTTTAGCCCCAGAGCACTGCACCTGGATTGTGCATGACTGGAAAAGACCCTCCAGACACTGGACCCTGAGGGGAAAACCCTCTGGCACTACCACAGCTAAGGGAAACACTGGAGCATGACAGAGTGAGCCACCAAGGATTTCTGGAGCCTTAGTAAGCCCTTTCCTCAGAGCTCTTTCCTGAAAGATGCAGCAACTTCCTTGGCAGCTCCTTGTTTCATGTGGGGCATTAAAGGCACATGTTTACTTACTAGAAACCACAGCCTACAGCATATTTCTATTAAATCACTTGCAAGCACTAGCTAGCCCTGCCTAAAGATCAGAGATAAGCTGGCAGGGCTGTGCTGTGCCTCGCTCCTGCCGGTCCCCGACAGGCTGGGCAGTGTCTGTGCCGCAGGGATAACTCAGCAGGGCTGTTCCTGCCCCACGCCAGCCACCAAGTGGCTTCTCCCAGTTTAATCTGCTCCCTTTCCTTCTCCCGTGCTGCCCAGCCCCTTCCAGGGGTCCCTCCCACTGGTCCCAGTGGCAGGTGGGTGCTGGCAGCCTCTGCCACCGAGCTTGGCATTGCCTCGTCCTCGGGGACCCCCACCCCGGCCACCTGGTGCTGCTGCCGCCACCACCTTCATCCCTGACTCATTTTATGGCTTCAAGGCTGAGGGTTATGAGGCTCAACACACCCCTGGGGCGATATGGGCGTGCTGGGGCAGAGGGAGTGGGCTGAGGGGGCTGTGGTTTCGCTCTGAAATGCCCCCTCCAGCTTGGTGGGGGACACTTGACTTTGCAGGGTCAGTGTCAGAGCCCGAGGGGCTGCACAGAGACCCTCACCAGCCAGAAGGAAAGGCACATTGAAACAGTGCCATAGCTGAGGGAGGGGACAACGAGCCCTTCCACGGCCACCTGGCTGTGCCAGGAGACCGACCTGACGGCCCAGGAGGGCCAACCCTCTGAAAATGGAAGTGAAAACCGGGGAAGAGCCGGCTTGGCCCCGTCACCCAGTGCCATGTTTGACTTTCGATTTCAGCAGGAAAGAAAAACTCCTCCCAGAAAAGCAGCAGCTGCACACAAACCTCTGCCAGCCTGGATGGGCTGTGCTCTCCTATCACATCCCATCCCATCCTGACCCCAACCCCTGCACTCCCTCCTTGCCCTGCTCCTTCATTCACTCCTCCAAAGGGCTTTGCACCAACCAGGCACCCAGAGGAAGGGGCACCCCAAGTGCTTGGGCGTTGGAAACCCAGCCCAGCCCTGCCATGGCCCTGCAGCACTGGGTGGGGAGATGTCCAGCACCAGAGGGACACTGATATCCCATCTCCACTCCTGCCATGCTGCTGTTTGTAGCTCTGCCCAGCAAAGCCCCTGCAGGACATGGGGAAGGGGATGGGGAGAGGCAGGAGCTCCAGGGCTGGAGCCAGCCCTAGTGGCTTCGATCCCCTGAGCGATGCCCTGGGACAAGAATGCCCCTGCTTGCAAGACAAGCGCTTCCCCAGCCAAATCCCAAACTCGGGGAGGGCTTAGGGAAGAAGTAATGAATGAGCATTTTATCAATACCATGTCATTGGCAGGGGAAAGCAAACAGTGATCCACCCAGGGCGTTCAATCCGCGGGGCGTGCGATCAATGAGCCCCGCGCGGGGCTCTCCCAGATCCATGGGCCGTGCCGGGAGCACACGGAAAACACGCCGTGTCCCGGCGGGGCCGCGGGGCGATGAGCCGCCTTTGAGGCGGGCGGCGGGGCCGGGCCGGCACCCGCGGCCCCCACAATGCCCCATTGTTCGGCGTGGGCCGCGTGTGAAACCCGGGGAAAGCGTGTTTGCTTTGCCCGCTGGGCCCTCTTATCTTATCAGCGCCGCCGCCACAATGGGCCAGGTGTACTCACCATTTTGCCGTCGGGCGAGAGCAAACCGTGGCCCGGGTCCAAGCCGGCCGGGGAGACCTGCTGCAGGACCGCCTGGCTGGTGGTGACCATGGCACCGCTGCCGTGGTGGCTGATGGCCCCCGAGGACGCCGCCTCGCCGCTCGCCGCCTGGCTGTACCGCACCCCTGCAAGACACCGCCCGCGCCGGCATCACCCACGGGCACCGCGGAGGTACCCGGGACGTGCCGACCCCCTCTGGAAGCTCCCTGCAAGGGGGACCCTCCAGCCCCCCCGCAGTGTGTGTGGCACAAGGATGCAGGCGTGCACACTCCTCGATGACACCCTTGAATGAAACCGGGAGGGACAGCACCGAAAAATGTGCTCCTTCCTGCAGTGTTGCTTCCCAGCTTCGCCCAGACCCCATCTCCTGAAATTACAGTGAGGGGAGGATGCTGAGCGCCCACCAGGACTGCAATCCCACGCTGCCCACGGGCCCTGATGCCACAGGGGGAAAAGAGAGCCCAGCCTGGGTCAACAGCCCAACACCCATCTGCACCCTTGTGCTGTCATGTGCATAGTTTGCACCCATTGTGCAAATCCCTGTGAGGTCCCCATGACTCTCGGACACCGGCCTGGGGACCCTGAGGTGTGGGAAGTGACTCTGCATCCTCCAGCTCGTCCCTCTGTGAGGCTCTCCCATCTCCCCGCAGCCCCCGGCCATCCTGACTGCCCAGCTCACAGAGTAGTGGCTCCACTGTTTCCTCAGGCCCTTCTGCATCTGATTCCCCCCTGACACAATCTCCACAAGTGTAAGATTAACAGGTCGCCTCAGTAAGGCAGAAGGATCAGACACACACCAACCCCCAGATCAGACCCCGGCCCACCCCTGCCCAGAAGGCAAATCTGGCTCGAGCACAGGTCTTCTATATAAATATATTTAATTTGGCTAAAGCAGCCTGCACTGATAACCATATGATCAGCCATGTGTCATGGAAAGGCATCCACAGATCACAAATAATTAACCCAGGAAAACCCATGGGAAACAAAAGCGTCTTTTACGGGGCTGCCTTGACGACTACGGTGAAAAGCCATTTATTAGGAGGAGTCCAGCACTGTGCTCCCAGCCGGGTTCACTGCCCTGGGATCGAAGTGGTGGGTGAGGGACAGGCAGCCCACAGCTCTCCTGGGAAAGAAAACTACGGCAAAGCCACCTTCCCAACTGAGAGCTCCATAAGCATCATCCACCCGTGATCCCCCGGCCATTGCACAGGGGTGTTGGGGACAGCTCCCCAAAATGACCATCAGCTGGGGAGGTTCAGCCTGTGGACGCTGCCAGTGGTGTCTTGGCTGTCCCAGCCCAGCATGGACACTCCCAGCTACAAACCCACCCCAGGAAAGCATCTTCCTCCTGGGATTTTGGGATGTCCTTCTCCCGGGAGCCTGAGGGGAAGAGCTGATGGTGAGTGGCTTGGTGGAAGCTGCTCTAGGGGCGGCTCTAAAATTAAGCTCTGAACCAAGGAAAAGGAAGGAAATAATACCTGGAGCCCAGGAACTTTCCACCAGCTTCGAAAGCATCTGCCCAAGCGCAGAGGGCCACCCACACCCTCCACCAAAACCACAGCAAAGCCACTCCATAATCACCTCTGAATATTCCCCATCAGCTGGTTAAACATGTCCCACAGATAGGAATCTCCCCACGATGTCTGGTTCCTGATCATTTCCCAGCAAACCCCTTTATCCCTGATAATAAAAGAATGTCCTCTGGCAGGTGGATATTTGCCGGCCCGAGTGGACGTCCCTGCCGTGCACAGGGTAAACATTACTCAACCGGGGCACTGTCACACACATTCTTCCCGCGGCCCCGGCCTCGTGCAGAGGGTGCTTCAGCCGCCGGGCCGGGATCCCGCGGCGCTGGTTAAACAATGGGAGGGGAGATAAAACAAAGCCCTTTCTTCTGGGCGCGATCTGGAAGATAGACGGGAGCACAGGCACCTCCTCTTGGGAAGGAAATCAGAGTTTCTGCTGTCTTCAAGCTCTTTTGGGTTCAGTAAGAGCAACAACAACAAGAAGCCCTTTTTAAACCCCAAATCATGCCATATCCAACTGAGGATGTTCTAACTTATGAGCCTAGACATCTGAAGTTATAAAGTTGGCTTTAAAACATACAAGAGGTTAAAAGCTGATTTTCAAGCTTTTCCTTGCAACCCCAAGGAGGAGACTTTGATTGTTTGAGGAACAATAACCAGCGCCGAGATTCCCAGATTGTCTGGAGACCGAGATTTTGGGTCTCTAGATAAAACCGCTGAAGACTCCAAGTCTTGATGAAGTTTAACTGTCCTGAGGAGTGCGAGGCTCGGCTCTGGGTCAGTGACAGTGGTGACACCGTCCAGCCCCATTAGGACCCCGCTCTCATGGAGGCAGGAGCTGTGCTGGTGGGTGGATCCTGAGTCCCTCAAGCCTGTGAGCACCCAGGTCTGCCCAGAAACCGCTTGCTGGGCAGCAAAAAGCCCTCTGCCTTTAGGAAGCCATCAACTATCCTGTCTTGGGGCTTTCCCATTCCTAGAATGGGATGGGTGCTATTATTTATATGCCCCCAGGGCTGGGTTGGAGTTGGGCAGATCAGATAATTAATATTAGGAAACCAGCACCAGGCATTGTTGCTGCTGTCATTGCTGTGACACATCCAGCTCCCTGGTGATGGTACCACCTTCCCTCCGAGCTCCCCGGGGCTTCCCAGCAAACCCTCCTCGGCACGCTCTGCCATCCCAGGGGTCACCAAGCCCCGGGATCCAGCCTTCCCCCTGCAGCATAACCTCTGGGACCCCCCCACAGGACCCCCCCAGCCAGGGTGAATGCACAGGGATATCTCCAGGACCGAAGGATTCCTCCCGGACCGAGTTGGGGTCCAGGGTTTATGAGCCGGGGCTCAGAGGGCCATCAGAGCCCGACACCACTGCTCTCCTGCTGCTCTCCTGAGCCTCCACAGCTGGAAGCAGCCCTTGTGCAAAGAGATTTATTCCCCCTCAGCCTCTCCCCACAGCTGCTCAAGAGAGGAGTCTGGATGGGGATCACCAGGAATGGGTCTGGCCGTGGAGCCTGCCCTCCTCAGGGCTTTTTTCTTTACTGGAGCTACAGCCATAATATAACAGTCTGTTTATGGGACCCGGCCATTGTGTGGCCCCTGAGCTGCACAGCCCGTGAAATGTTTTACTGCTTTCCCCTGTTCCAGACAAGCCACAGGGTCCGGCTCCCGTAGCCTTAACCCGATGGACGGGGACAGGCAGCGTGACAGCCCCCAGGGCGGGGGGTCCTGTGCACCCACGGCTTTCCACAGCCAGCCCCACCACCCCCATCTTCTTCAGGGCACCAGAACCATCCCCCTGACCCGACCTGGGAGGGCAATGGGGGGGTCTGGGGCAACGATCAATACCTTTATCGCTTTCATCACAGCCTTGTGCCATTTTCTCGGAACACACCAGTCCTGTGCCTTTGGCAGGGACAAGCAGTGAAGCAGCTTGGTTCTGCTCTGCCTTGAGTCATGTTGATATAAGCAAATTGTACTTTTTAAAACAAAAACTCACTGTACTTTTAACTGTCTTTCCCTGCTGCCACTGTCCCACAGCACATGCCAACCTCTGGCAGCAGCATCTGCTGCTTCCCCCAGCTCCAGGCTGCATTTCTGCCCAGAGCTTTGCCACACCCTCCACATCACCAGCAATGCCTGACCCCAAAATACACTGCAAAAAGTCACTGAGGATCCAGCTGCAGCAGGGATTCAGCTCTGGCTCTGCCCGACCCACGGGGATGCAGCCGCCAACATGGACCAGGGTGTGAAAGTGGGGTGAGAAAGGCAAAATATAATCTTTGGGGTCATGCTGGACTCAGTGATGCTCCACCCATTGACACCATAGACAGCTGGGTCTCTGATGGGACTGTCACCCTCCCAAATTCAGGCCCAGGCAGCGCCGAGGGCAGCTCTGATTTTTGGGCTGCCACTCAAATTGTCCCTAAAGTGTTAATCTTGCTCAGTTACAGAGGTGCATAGTTTATATCCATTATAAACCCGTTTATGGGGACTGGACCCCTCCCGTTTCGCTGCTGTCATAAAGTTCTAATTACCCCCATAAAACCTGGAAAAGCTCCTAACAGTGCACTGTACCCACCGAGCCCCACAATGCGCCCGACAGTAAAATATTACAACCACTGGCACTGGGTCCTCAGTCAGAACCAGCACATACCCCAGGGAACACCGGGAAGGATCCAGGTGTAAACAGGGGTACCCCCAGACCAAGGGTTGATTGATGGGCTCCTCTTTAAGGAAAAATTAAAGCACTTAAATTGCCCTTTCCTTTTTTTTTTTTTTTTCAAAAGAAGCTTGGGGGTGGTACTGAGATATTTTCATGTTTGTTATCTCCATCTAAACACATATGTAAGTAATATACACACACAAATATACAAATATATGAATGATTGCTCTGATATTGCTCTGCTACTCTGATATTTGCAGAGCAGAGATGGATGGGTGGATGGATGGATGGATGGATGGATGGATGGATGGATGGATGGATGGATGGATGGATGGATGGATGGGTGGATGGGTGGACAGACACCCCAACCCTCTGTGGGTATGGAGTCCCCCAGGACAGGCTGGAGGTGATGCTGTGACCCCCCAACCACAGGGCCAGGGCAGCCCTTTGTATGCAGGGTGGGAGTGGGGGGTGGCTGTGGGCTGGTGGTGCGTCACCTAATCTCATCAATGCTCCGATTGTCTTCGGGGCTCTTGAAGATAAAAATGGCATAAGCCAGAGTCTACAGCATGGCACCAAGATAAAGCCCCGAGTGACCTTCAAATCAAACAGGGAACCAAGATCACTGATAAAACCCAGAGTAAGGGAAAAGTCCAGCCTCTGAGAGGAGCCTCTGAGATAGAAAGGCTTTAAGTATTTACCTCCAAGTAGTTAAAAACCACAGCTCGGGGCTTGACAGATGGGTCCCCAAGAAGAGGCCGGAGGATGTTTGATTTTTACAGCTCTCCTCCCTGCCCTGCTGTCATTACACCCTTTTGCAAGACCCCATTGACAAAGTCCTGAGGAGAGGTGACCCCTCTTTGTTCACAGGCATGGGGAGCAGTTTGCAGCTGCCCCACGGCCCTGCCCCACCGTATCCTGCCGGGGAAGGGGACAGGCAGGGGCAGGGCACGGGCAGTGTCCCAGCGCCGTCATTAAGCTGTTAAGGCATTGATGGCTCCAGACGCCGCCGCACGCGGGGCAAGGACAGTTCAAATCCCAGCATGGACAGCTGGGATGGGGTCAGCCAGGCACTGGGGATGGATCTGCCAGCACTGGCTGTGCCCCACCGGGAGCAGCTCCCCAGACATCTCCTGGAGGAGGTCTAAGCAGTGATGGACCCAGTGGTGTTTTGGGAGCTGCAAGCTGCAAGGCTTGGTCCAAGAGGTCAGGAAGGGGTTATGGCTGAGCTCCATCCCTGTCTGTCTCCCCAAAACCAGCTCTAAAACTCCACGGTGGCCCTCGCCATGCCCATCTCCTCCTGCCCGGCAAAGACGATGGATATAAGCACTGATCGCCAACCAATTCCGGCAGCCGAGCCCTCCTGACCCTCCGGAGAGGCTTTTCTCCGCGGCCATCACTCCTGCCCTGCTCAAAAGCCCCTCCGAATGGGCTGTCATCGGCGCTATAGCCGGGACCGGCCCCTGCTGGCACCGCTCCGACGGGAAAATAAAGGTTGGGGCTTAACGGCCCTCCAGCCCCGAGATAAATGCCCGCGGTTACAGTAATTGCTGTCCCCTAATAGAAGAAAACAAAGGCTCTCGGGGGGAGCCCCCTGTGCGCTGGCAGCCCGGGGGCACATCAAAGGCAACGGGGTTCGTTCAAAGCCCCGGCTTAATTGTCAATTAAGCATGCACGGGGGACAACGCCGTGACAATGCGGGGCTGCATGCTGGTGGGGCATTGTACAGCCCGCCGCGACACCGAAAACAGCTGATTCTGCTGACAATGTGCTTGTAGGGCACCTTGTAAGCAATCAGCCGCTGACAGGAGGGCAAACGTCCTCCCCGTCCCCGCCATTGTGCGGGGCATTCCTGGGGCAGGGTCACATTTTGGTCACCGCTGGCCGGCCCTGCGGGGAGAGCGGTACCCGGGAGCGGGTTACAGATGTCAGGCACAGGATGCTGCCTGTCCCTCCCACGGCCGGGAGCTGGGGCGGGGGCTGCCCACCCACCCGGGGCTGCCACATCCCCGCGCACCGCTCGGGGGGCTGCCCTCGCCTGCAGCGCCCGAGGACCGATGTCCAGGTGCGCGTTGGCAGCGTCCCCAGCCCCGCTCCTCCTCTCCGCAGGCACCTTGCCCTTCCCGCGGGGAATCTCCGCCACACGGGTTCCTTTTGACTTGCCTTTGTAACGAGCTGGGTGTGTGCAACGAGCCAGGCAAGGTCACTTCAGGAGGTGGCTGGTTTCAGCCTCCCCGGCCGGGCTGTGCCAGTGCCCGCGTTGTGTCCGAGGGGGACGCGGGGTGGTTGGGACACAGTCCCCGCGCTGACCCCCCAGCCCTGAGCCCCCTGTCCCGCCTGCCGGGGGCTGGCGGCTGGCTGCGAAGGGCAGGTAAGGGACAATGGGCATTGTTCTCCCAACAATGCCTCCCACCCTGATGAGCCTCCCCGGGCGCGCAGCCCCCTCACCGCGGCGTTATCTCCTGCTTAAATCCCCCGGGAGTTTTCAGCGCGTCTGCTCTGCCCAGCCGGCTCCTCGCTGTGCACAGCGGGGCTGGACCGTGGTGTGGAGAGATGGAGCTTGGGGTGAGCCCTGCACCCCCCCAGCAGCTCCTTTATCCACCTCCCTGTGATCTGGCACAGGGACGGGGCAGAACTGTGCATCTGGGGTATCTTCAGCCCTGCAGTGAGGCCAGGACATGCTGCCACATCTTCCTATGGGCTTTGCAGCATTGCCTGTGCACCCCCAAAAACAGTGCTCCCCAGTGGCTGTACCCCATGGCCCCAGCATTGGCACACCAGGCACGGAGCAGCTCCTCCTGCCCTGCCAGGCACAACCTCCTCCTGCCCAGCCGAGCCCACACGGGAACTCTGACAAGTTAAACCAAACAAGCAAACACTGATTTATCCTCAGCGAGACGGAAATCCAGCCCTCAGCACGTGCCTCTCCCGGCCATAACACTGCAGCGACAGCACGTGCTCCTCTCCACATCCCCACCCCTCATCGAGGCTGCAGCAGGGACCGGGGTCACCATCCTCCCCCTCCTCAAGGCTACCCACTCACAGCACCTCTGCCCCCAGCCAAAACGGGAGCCAGCTCTGCCACCACTGCCCGAGCACCCTCAGCGAGGGCTTACCTGGCATTTTGCTGGGAGGGGAAGCGCTGGGCTGGTTGTGGTGGGGGGAGCCGTGGGACAGCAGCAGGTTCATGCTGTGTGGGGGCTGCCCCGAGCTGTAGGCGTCCATGGCCAGCTTCTGGCGGAAAGCCTCCTCCTTCCGCCGGTTGGCAAACCAGTTGTAGACACGGACCTCCGTCACCAGGTTGGAGCCGAGCCCGTGAGCCTTGGAGGGGGACACTCCTCGCTGCAGACACTCGGCCCTGCATGTGCAAGGGGGACACGTTGAAACAAGGGTGCTGCTGGGGGGAACAGGAGCCTTGGGACAACAGGCAGATCTGGGGTTGTTTAAGCCCTTCCTACAAGCCCCGCTGCTCTTTCCAACTGCATCCATGCATCCATGCATCCAACTGCATCCATGACTCTAAAAGTCATCCCCGCTCCCTCTGACGTTGCTGGAACACTACAGCATCCCTGTGGCATCCCTGCAGTCATCCCCACTGCATCCCAACAGCATCCCTGTCACATCCCTCCATCATCCTTGCAGCATCCCTGTTGCATCCCTGCAGCATCCCTGCATCACATCTCTGCTCCAGCAGGGAGCTCGCTCAGCCCCAAACATCACCCAGACTGGGAAAACAAGGCAAGAAGAGGCCAGACAGCTCAGCAAAGCTGTGCCACGAGCCAGCGGCCGGAGGGGTGACCCGGGAGCCCGTCATCACGCTCAGTTTTCCGAAGGAGGGCTGAGGGCAGGTGAGGAGGTGCCGTGGGGCAGCTGTTACCTGTTGCACTCCTCCACCAGAGTCTCCCGCTCCTCCTTGCTGGGGTTCTTCTGGCGCTCGTAGGCTTGGTACAAGATTTGCTGGGAGGCTGGCCCCCACTTGAAGCGATTGCGGCGCATCTTCTTGCTGGGGGTTTCGGAGCAGGCGTCGTCGAGCTGGGCAGCCCCCTGGTTCTGCTGATTGAACTCTGGAAAGAGAAACAGCAGCTGATCCTGACTGCCTTTGTCTGTCATATTTCCACAACCCTGGACTGTCTGGTTGAACTCTGAAAGAGAAAGGAGCAGACGTGAGCCGGCCTGTAGCTGCCGCTCGCAGTCACCGTCCCGCGCAGAGGTGGCCCCCCCGTGTCCCCTCCTGCAGCACCCCAAGCCCACGGCAGGTTTTGGAGCAAGTCAGGTGCTCCCTGCCACCCACCCTGGGAAGGGGCCAGCCTATTGCCATCCCTGTTTAATGGGGAGGCATGTGCAGGGCATGTGTATGTCCATGCATATTCATGGGCAGGGGCCCTGCCAACCTGCACTTGTTTCGGGAGGATTTTTGCAAGCGAGGAGCTGGGCAGGACCACTGCAAAGCCCCCCGAGAGGGTGCCCCTCTCTCCTCACCCAGAGCTCCAGCTCCCGTCCCATCCCAGCCCGGTGGGACCCGGCCCCGTGCCCGGGGCAGGCGGCACCAGAGGTGACCTTCGGCAGCCGCCTCAGCCCCGGCGCTTGTCACCACGGCAGTAAAGGGAGATTAATGGGAGGGTTTTATTATTCCCAGTTTTGCAGGGGAATTCTCCCTCTTTTTATAATGGCTTTTCCCCCTGTGACGGGGGAAATGCAGGGCAAGCCTGGAGCAGGCTGTGTTTGCTCTAACGACTCAAGGTGTGTTTTCAGAGCAATGGTATTTGGTGCTAAACACCTTTCTGCACTTCCCAACTGCTGGATGTTGCATCCTTTTGGAGGAGGGAGGCAGAGCCCTTTCCAGGGGTTGTCAGTGCCCCAAACTGCCCCAAAATGGGGCTGTTTCAAGTGCTACAGGACAGACCCTGTGGCAGGGGACAGTGGGAGAGGAGCGCAAAAGAATAGTCTGTGAGCTTGGTCAAAATCATCTGCATTTTAAACAGCACAGGCTGACCCAAAACCTGCTACACACAGGAGCAATTTAGGGTTTTTTTTCTTTTCTCTCCCTTTACATTTTTTGCACTTAGTTGCAGAAAATGAGCAGTCTGAGAAAGAGCGAGTAAAAGGGGGCAGAGGTGGGAAAGGCACCTAATTGTGAGTCCCCATTAATTGCTTTTCCAGCTCTAAAAAAATATAAATGCCCAGAAACTCAGCCGTGTGGACGGAACCCCTTAAATTCGTTGCACCTTAAATTCCTTTTACTTGTCAAGCTGCTCTGGGGAGACGCTCCACAGCTGGGGCCTGGGGGCTGTGCTGGGACCCACGGGCAGGACCGGGACATGGGGACCCCCTCGCCCTCCCACCAGCCCCGACGGGCGGGCGCTGCCGCGGGTACTTACGCCGGAGGATCTCCCGCTGCTTGCGGACGTACCACGTGTACAGGGCAGCTCTTTTCTGAGTCTTCATGGGGGTGCCCTTGTTGAGGTGCTGGGAGAGGTGTGACTGGTTGAGGCCGGTGACATCCACCACCTCCCTCTGCGGGATGTTGTGCTGCTGCATGTACCCCTTGATCATCTTCGCCGCCCGCCACGGGTCCTCGCTGCGGGGAGGGAAAGCAAGGGTTAATCTCTGCTGGAGGGGGGAAAGCACCTGGCATTTGCTTCTTCCCACAATAGAAACCTATTATTATTATTACTACTACTATTATTATTACTATTATTAAAACTGTCTCAGAAGGACACAAGATCCCTTGGGTGTATGTTTTTCCCCACAAACAGCCCCGTCCCACCCCACGGCTGGTGGGATGAGGGCTCATGGAAGTCACGGCCACCCCGGGGATGCCAGTCAGGCTGTTTGCCCAGGGAAGGAGAAGCAAAGAGGACCCCGGTGTTCTGATGGGACACACTGAGGTCTCCTTGCTGCAGTAAAGCACCTCCAGATCCTCCAGGGAGAAACACAACCTGTCCATGAACCGCTGCCGTTGCATTCACCGCGATTTCTCCCTTGGAAGATACGCACACACAGTGGGATACACACACATGTAGGGATATGGGAAGCCTGTCCTGGTGTCTCTCTGAAGAAAGAGAAACCCCTCACCTGGAGGTGCTGGGGTTGCTTTTCCTGCCCCTGCTCACCGGTGTGGTACCCGCACTGTGCCCTGTGCCCCTGGCATTGCCACCGGCTGGCAGGGACCCCTGTATGGCCACTGGATCCCACCTGTAGTTTCTCCCTTTCGTTCCCACTGGGATAATGATCGAAAAAAATCTCAATATTCGCTCAAAAGAGACCCGATTTCCTCTCTCCCACAGCAGCGCAGCGCACACACCGGCCATGTTTGAGAGGCTGAGAAGCCAAGGTCAAACCAGGCACACAAACCCCAGCGAGTCCCCGAACACAAAACCAAAACCAAACACCCCAATAATTTTAAGTCATTCCTGAGTATTATAAAACACCTTCATTTGGCTCCTGTAGGATCCAGATGTAAATTACTCTTCACTAAATCACATTACTTTGGTGTCCTTGGGGTAGCTGACACCGATTCAGGGAATAAATAAAATTGCAGCCCAAAATCCAAATGCTATCCTCAGTCTTTAGCCCTGTCCAAAGCCAGAACAGGCCAACACATCTGTGCTGTATCCAAGACTCCCACGTTTATTCTGGGCTAAAAGGAAGCATTTTAGTGCTGAAAAATCGGTGTGAGCCCGAACCTGGTCACAGTCATGCACTCAAATAATGCGACACCCCAATGTCGCCCTTGGAACGACCGTCCGGCTGCTTTCCCAATTCATTACTTATTTTGGATCCTTCAGCTTGTCAAGTGAAAAAAAAAAAGAAAACCACCAACAAGTAGATTTCTTACTTTTTGTCCTGAATGCAGTGTGAAAACAAAGCTGGTTGGATCCACAGCGAAAGTACCGGAGCAGAGCCAGCCGGGGCTTTGTCACACCCCGGGAAGGAGCCACGGAGCCTTCCTGGAGATGTTGAGCCTGTGCCCAACCCTGCATCCTCCTGGGAGGGGAGCCCCACTGTATATGGGGGTCCTCTACGTGGTGATGGTACCCAGGAGAAGGTGGGAAACGAGGAGAAAGATGTGGAGAAAATGTCCTTCCCAGCGACGCCGGGCAAAGCCGCCGTCCGCCGTGCCCGAGCCGAGGGGCTCGCACGGACCTTTGTCACAAGCAGTTCATGTCACCTAACTGATCCCACTAATTACTGATTAATAATAAGTTAATGAAACAGAGGTCATTATCATTTCTAAGAGCGGTCTGGTTCACAGTCGAGCCCAGGGAGGCGTTTTCCCAGAGTGAAACCGTGAGCTGGTGCAACAGAGCACACTTGGAAAATGTCAAATGAGCAACTCGGGGGTCGCAGGTGGGATTTCAGAATTAAAAAAAAATTTGGCAGCATTTTGGCTGAAAAAAAAATATGTGAGAATTAGGACAAAAGTCTCTCAATTTCATTATTTTAAGAAAGGCTTCACCTTGACATTTCCAGTGTTTCACACTTACGCTTTCAAAACAATTATTCAGCTCTTAATTTCCGAGCAGTGATTTTTCCCTTACAAATCAACTTGACCGTATTCAAAAGGGTTAAACAACCTGAAACCAAACCCAAACATTTTGTTTCATGTTAAACAAAATGTTTGGACTTGACCCAAAATGAAAGTTTGAGTGTTTGTTTGGCCTCTTTTTTTTTCTTTCTTTTTTGGTTAACTTAAAAAACCAGAGAGGAAAACCTTTTGAGTCAACACCAGCCCTTTTTCTTTTATTCTGTCACCAAAATGAAATAAAACAAACATTGATTGTCCAATCTTCACCAGGAGTTTACATACAAAAAAAAATACAAAGCCCTGACCCAACCCAGGAGTGCTTTCTAATACCAGCAAACCAGTTTACAGCCCTGACTCCACGATCCTACTCCACCAAAATCATGGAAAGGCGGGTTTTTCTTGCACAAAAATAGCCCCAATGAAGCCTGGCCACCAATGCTGCCCAAGAAAGAATCACTTCCCCATCCAGCCTCATGTGCAGGCGGGAAGTAAATCCCTCTCCCCAGGGATTCCCAGACCCACTCACCCCTTTTTCAGCCTGGAAACGAGGTAAATACGCTCCACATCCTTGGAGAAATATGCCAAGAATTTATACAGATGGATTATAAACACGGTTCCCTACAGAAACGATCTCCCTGATCGGCATCTCCCTGTGCACCAGGAATCGGCTGTGCCCGCTGCTCCACACACCTTTGGGGGTGGCTTTCCCACAGTCCCCAGCCCATGGATGGGATCTGGGTGCCTCTGGGATATGTTATTTGCCTGAGTGGGGTCTGGGTGAGCCCTGGCAGGTGGGACAGGGCAGGGAGGGAGCTGTGGGGTTGCTCCAGAGTGGGCTCTGTGTGCTGCCTGCCAGGGTGAACTGACCGGGACCACGGCACCCACTGTGCTGGGTCCCAGAGAGCTGCGGGGCTGAGCACCCCCAGGGATGTGGGAATGGCCTGAGAGAGAGCCAGCCCTGGGGTCGGGACACCGGGGGAACGGGAGAAGAGGGGGTTCAGCCCCTGAGAGTGGCTGCAGTCAGTGTCTCCCAACTCCCCTACCCGCTCCCTCTCCAAGTACAAAGGCCTCTCTTAGAGCAAACACGAGCTCTTTGCAAAGACTCCTCAGGGACATGTGCCCGCTCTTGTTTGCACCAAAGGCAAACTTTGCACAGAAACACCTGTGGGAGAGCAGAGATCCCAGGGATCTGCCTGCTCGGCCCCCTCACGGCCACGCGGGCACCCCCGGCAGGGATGCAGCCAGCGAGGGGGGACTGGGAACAGGTGGGAGCACCCAGGTGTGCAGGGCACAGTGCTACACAGGAGGGGTGGGAACCCATCGGGAAAGGCCTGCAATGGATTCTCCCTCACACGGAGCCCTTTTGGCACCGCAAGTCCCAGCCGAGCCCCTGGGCAGGTACAGGTGGTGCTGCCCCGGCCCCAAAGGGCACCGTCTGCCCTGCTGGTACCGGGGCACGGCTGCAGCACGTCCCCGCTGAGGCACCGGGGTGTCAGAGGGGGTAAGCTGGGGCTGACCCTGGGCTCTGCGGGCTGGCAGAGGGCACGGGCACACATCGGGGCCGAGCCCGGGAGGCAGGATCGGTGCCTCACGCCGGGCGCGCTGGGCATCGCGTCAGGCACCCGACCTGCAGAGCAAGGGAGGGGACACACAGACGGACCCCGAGAGGCTCCCGCTGCACGCAGGGATGTCCCCGTGGGACTCCCACTCGCTCACACCGCCCCGAGCCACCATCGGGTGAGCCACGGTCACCCCGCGCCCGTGGGAGAAGCGGCGGCTGCCGCTGCCCCCGGGGGTCTGGAGGGGGGTCGGTGCCGCCCGCGCCCCGCCGAGCCCGGGGCTGCCCCGCTCCGCATCCCAGGACGGGCCGGAGCGGAGCCGAGTCCTGCCCGCCGCCGTCGGGGGTTCCCTCCTCCTTCCCCCCTCCCGGGCCGCTTTACAACCCCGACAATGAATAACCCGCCGCCCCGATCGCCCCGATCACGGCCCTTTGTGTATCTTTCTGTTGATGATTTATAGAAATAAATTAATAACGCCCCGGGCTCCACGTGGTGAGGTTTACGTTTGAGCTGCCGGCGCGGAGGGACGGAGCCGGTGGCCGGTCCGAGCCCCCACGGCCCCGGCAACCCCGGCCCACCGAGACGGGCGGGCGGGCGGCCCCCGACGGGGCGGGGGGACCGGGCTTCGGTCTCCCCTCGGCCGCGGAGTCCTCGCCCGGCTCCCCAACCGCCGGGCAGGGAGCACCAGGACCGGGCACCGGGTGGGACACACCAAGCAGGGAGCACCGGGACTGACGGTGGGGCGGGCGGGGAGCACCGGGACCCGCCACCGAGCGGGAATCACCGGGCGGGGCGCAACGGGACCCACACACCGGGAACGACCCCTGCGCAGGACGCTCGGGGCCGGGGCCGTCGGAGCGAGCGCCTGCGGACGGAGCCCTGCGCGCCGCGGGTGCGCCCGGTGCCGGTACCTGATCATCCTGTCCACCTCCGAGCGCAGCTCCACGGCCTCCTCCGTGTTGAGCGACTGCAGCTCGCGGAGGATCGGCGGCGTGTCGAAGTCGTCGCCGTCCTCGGAGCCCTCGTCGCCCGAGAGCTTGCCCTTGCCGTGCCCGTTGGCCAGCGGCGGGAGGGCGGCCCTGCCGTCGGGGGGCCCGCCGGGAGACAGCGGCAGGTTCTCCAGCTTGACGCCGAAGCCGGCGGCGGGCACCATGTCCTCCAGGGCGCGGATCAGCCCCTCCTTGGTGGCCCCGGAGCTGAGCAGGGCGCCCAGCAGCTCCCGTTGCAGGGCGCTCAGCTGGGACACCATCCTCCCGGCCCCGCCGCTCGCCTCCCGCCTCCCCGCTCCGCCCCGGCCGCGGCTGCTGCGGGCCGCGGGCCGCCCTCTACCAAGCCATGACCGCCACCATTAGGCAATATACCCTATGCAAATCAGCGCCGAGGCCTCTCCTCCGGCCCCGGCCCCCGCCCCGGCCCGGCCCGGCCCGGCCCTTAGCGCCCGCCGGGGCGGACTTTGCCTCGCCGCCGCCGGGAGGCCCCGGGGGAGCGGCGGGGGCAGCGCCGGGCGGGACGGGACGGGGCGGACGGGAAGGTGGGCCTGAGCGCCCCAGCCCCGGCTGCCGTCGGGGGTCCCGGTGCCGGTCGCACCCCAGGAACGGGGCACATTCCTGTGTCCGCACCCCCGGGGCCGGTGGGCTCAGCTCCCTCGGGCACTGTGCCCTGCGCTGGAAGGAGCCCACGCTGAGACCCCCCCCACGGCTCACAGGGGAGATTTCTCTCCCCGTGTCCCCCACCGTGTGGGGTCCCACTGCCCAAGCCCTGGCACAGAGTGGGCACAGGCTATGAGGGTCCAGCAGAGCACCCCCAAGCCGGGGGTTTCCAAAGAGGGTTGTGGCTCCCGCTATGGGGCAGCTCTGGGGACAGGTTCGCTGCCATTTAGCTGTGCAGGGCATGGAAGGACACTCAGTTGGCAAAGGGGACACTGCAGGGACTGGGGTCGCAGAGGACACGAAGCCCCCATTGACCCTTGGCAGCAATCAGGGGTGGGAGCAGGGTTTGGGAATGGGCAGAGGAAGAGATCTAGGCTGGGCTCTGGGCTCTGGGCTCTGGGATCTGAACAAAACCTGCTTTTCCTAATGCTGTGAAATGCACTCAGTCCCAAAGATCAACAAACTCATTTAAATCAAAGCAGGCACAGGACAAGAGGCAGCACGACACCCACAGCACAGTGTGGGGGGCTCTGGGACCCTGCAGTGGAAGGCAGGGCTGAAATCTCTATTTATGACCACCCAGTTTCCCAAAACACTTCCAGTTTGGTATCCCTGTTCCTGCCGCTCTTGGCTGGCACCTGGACATCAGCCCTGGCAAAGGGCTTTAAACCCAACATTTCCAGCCCAGATTTGGACTTTTTCAGCGCACTCAGGTCACCTGTGCATCTCAAAACCCACAGAAAATCCTGCCAGCCACCAGCACCCACTGCAAAACCCGAGCCTGGCCCCAGAGCCCCACGGGAGCCCAACTGCTGGTCCCTGACACCACTGGCCATGGGTCCCCTCCCAGCAAAACACCTCAGGGAGCTGGTGGCAGTTTGGCTTCCAACAGAGCCAGGCAGAAGGAAGGGAAAAGCCCCACGGCTCAACTGGGAACAGCCCGTGCCTGCCAGCAGGAGTGTGTTGGGAGCTGCACGGACTGAACAGGCTGCTGCAGTCTATAAAACCATTCCTGCTCTGTGGAGCAGGAGCAGCCTGGGGCCAGGATGGCAGAGCAGCACCCTCAGAGTCCCCCTGCTCTTTGGAGGGTGGGGGACAGAGCCACAGCCAAACATAGGAGGCTGGGGCTGAGGGGTATCCCAAAGGGAGATCCCAAAGGGATATCCCGAAGGTCTCCATGTGTTGGGAGTTAGTGGGTGATCACGCAATGGGCACACAGCAGCCTGTGCACAACCTAGAGAAGAGAGGACTGAAAAATCCCAAAGAGACCCTTCCTGCTCCCAGCCCAGAGCCCTCAGCCCAGCTGAGCAAATTCCCAGCTCTGCTCCCACGTGCTGAGGCTGCTCAGTCGAGGAGGCAGCGGCAGCTCCCTCACACCCATTTTTGGACCACGTGAATCCCTGCTCTGCTGCCTTGCAGTGAGGATGAGGGGCTCCTCAGCTCTGCTGTGCCTGGCACCCAAAAGTATGTAGGATGCAGGGACCAGGCTGCTGGATGAGTGTCCCCCCTGTGCCCTACTCTCCTGTGAGGGTGAGTGGTTCATGCCCACCAGGTCCCTGCACCCATAGGTGCTCTCATCCTTCACACCACAGCAGGTCCCTGATCACCCCAAAGCTCCCCTGATCTCAGGGGATGGGGGAACACCAAACCACTCTCCCACCTTTGGGGCTGGGAGGCTGTGCAGAGCCCACACTGTCCCTGAGCAGCCACCCACTGCCCCCAGGACATGGGCTCACGCCCGCTGTGCCCTCCAGGCTGTGCTCCCACCGCTGCCCCTCCACAGACAGGCTCCTGCCCGGGGCAGACTTTGTGGGAGGCTCCACAGGTGCCAGGGGAAGGCAGGAGCTGGGCTGAGCGCCCAGACCCCCCGGCACGGGCTGTGACACCCCCCACCCTGTGCTGGCCTGGGAACAGCCTGGCTCCTCTTCTGAGAAGGTCTCCTTTCCCTTTCAAGTGGGCTGGTGAGCTTTGACTTGGTCTTTGCACAGGCTTCATGGCATCGCATGATAATCATGTTCTGTCACAGTGGGTGACCTGGACCTTGTCCTGTTTCCACACATTTAGAACCACCTGGCTAATGAAGTGGATATCGTTTTCTGGTCCATCTCTCTCACCCTGTTGCTCTTCCCCCTTCCTCCACGCCCCGCTCCTCCGAGTGATGTCAGGAGCCTCTCTGCAACCGGCCTTTTCCCATCGTTGTCCGGCACAGCTCATTAACTCCTCTCAGCAGAAGAGCTCGGTCATTACGGCTCGGGGGGCCGTGGGTGCCCCGGGGGCTGGGAGCACATAGTTTCCCAGCACCCGCCTGGCGGGAGCATCAGCCTGAGCTTTCAGCAGGAGGTGACTGCGGCTGGGAACGCAGGGCAGCTGTACAGGGTGGGTTTTTTAAGTTGAGCACGCTCTGCTCTGCCCCTCAACGATCCAACACCAGTGGTTTGCATCCAGCCCACGCTGGCCATCAGCTCCTGGGGCTGGAGCGGCCTCACCTCCCGCTCCCCATCACTCCCAGCACCTGAGAGGCTCCAAGTACCAAACCAGCCGCTCATCCCCTCCCATCCCAGGCCATCCTGGAGCAACTGCCTCGACCAGGCCCAGGCCATCCCTTACTCACAGCCAAATCCTCCATCACCACGGAGGGGCCAGCAGCGTTTGCCCCAAGCACTGGCCGCAGCTCCCCCCCGGCAGCGAAGCCATCGGTGCCAACCGTCACCGCCGTGGCCAGCGCGGGGTCAGCCACGGGCACAGCACTGGCACGGGGGACTTTGCTCCTGGCACCGCACGGCTGCATCTCAGGCAGAGGAACCAGGTGCCAGGGCACCCCCATGTCCTTGCCGGGGCAGCCTCGTGCCCACCCTCTCACGGGCAGCGTGGGGGACACGGGAGCCAAAGGACCAGCGGGGATTTTCCCCATGAGCCACCGCGGCGGGCGCAGCACCGTGACTCACACGGCACCGGCACCGGGGGATTTCTGCCACGGACACACTTATGCATTTCGGATCTGCCTCTCATTTTTTCCTTACTGTTTCATTTAACGCCTGAGCGCGTGCAGACACCGCCTCTGACCTCGCGGGCAGTGGGCAAGAGAGTTCCCACCAAAACAGGGCCATTAAACCCCCTCACGAAGATTTTTTTCTCCTCTGCCCCCACTTGCGCTGAGATTTTTGCATTCCCTGCCTGCCTCCGCCTCCCCCACACTGAGGTGACGTAATGTTTTGAAGCCTTCTCCCATCCCCACCTTTATTAAATATGACCCGCCGTTGATCCCCGTGCGGGCCGAAGGGAAGCTGTGGTTTCGGGAGGGATCAGACATGAAAGGGAGAGCTGCCCGCCCTGAGCAGGGCTCGCTCAGCAGGGCCACGGGGAGCCCTCACACCCACCACCCCAGTACCTGCAGCCCCCAGCACTGCAGACGTGGTGGAATGGTGGCATGGGTGCCCCTTTCACCCTCCAAGGGCAGTTGGAGCTCTTGGCACTCTGGTTTGGGATATAAATGCTCTTGCTCCCCCTCTCTCTGAGGTGATGGATGGAGCTGTGGCTCTCCCCCTGCAGAGATTTTGGGACGGGGGTTCAGTTCCAGGGGTCTGGTGGCCCAGCTGTGGGCTGAGCCCTACTGTGCCTGTCCCCCATCCCAGCCATCAGCTGTCACCCGCAATTCCCAGCACAGAGACCCCACTGACACCCTACAGACCCCATCACCGGCTATGCTGCACAGCCTACTTGGCTCCCAGGGAAAGGATGTGTCCAAGGTGTCATGGAGCTGCAGAGCTCCAGCTTTGGTGTGGAAACAACCCTTGTTCCACCCTGCTCCAAGCACAGGGAACCCTGGGTGAACCCAGGCATCGTCTGGGAAGAGACACTCCAGGGCTGCTCAGCCTTGAAGGGGATGGATTTCTCCCCATCTGGTGTCCACCACGGTCTGGTCTCACCTGACAGGAGCACTTGGGCAGGGCTGGCACGAGGTGGGCTTTGCTCACAGCCCCCAGCCTGTCAACAGTGCCAGCACCAGGGGCACAACTGGGAACCCCACATGTTGCCCCTCAGGCCATGTGGGTGCACCCACACTGGGGACATCCCTCAGCCTGGTGCCCTCACCCCATCCCCGCAGGTTCACCCGGCACAGCTCTCTCCAGGCGGAGGGAGACGAGGCAGGAGCTGGGGCCAGAGCACAGGAGGGACGGGAACCACCCAGGACTTGCCGGGGGCTGCAGGGATGGGGCACAGGGTGGGCAGGAGGACACCCGGCAGCAGCGCTTGTCTGTCACACCGGTAATTAATGTTTCTCCCTTACACTTTGCAAATAACTCGCGACTCTTTGTCTGGTGATAAATGGCCCCTTTGAAGTTCTCCTTTCTCAAAAGCAAAGCAAAGAAACACTTTCATAATCCGTCTTCACCCTGTGCCGAGGCTCTGCTGCACTTGGGGGCACAGGGGTGCTGGTGGCCCCTCACCTGGAGGTGGGACCCCTCTGGGGCTGCTTGGTGTCCCCCTTACTCTGTCAGGAGGCAGGCGGTGAGGCTCAGGATCACCTTGGCTTGTTCCCTGCCCATGGACATGACAATGTGTCCTTCTGCTCTGATGGCCTGACCACCACATCCCCTCCCCTG